TAAAGAAGGGAGTGAGCCAAGAATGCATATTGGCCCCATATTTGTTTAATTCAGACAGTAAATATAGAATGAGAATGTCAGAAGTGAGATATAAAGAGATGATAGCTGGAACAGCAGAAGGTCAAGATCTTAACATTAGAGATGTGCAGAAAACCACATGTTACCTGTATGTAAAGAAGATTAGACACAGCAAGTAGCAGTATCTAGTTGACCTTGGCTGATTTAAAAAACACTAAGTTGGGGTGGGGTGATTTAGAACTTGTATGGAAGGCCACTAAGAAATCCCAAAGCTTAAAATAAGACTGTGAAATAAATAATAATAAAAAATCTGGAAGAAGGAAATGGCAATTAACTGCAGTAATACTGTTGCCAATAGAACAACATGGACTCATCCATATAGTCACCAGGAATTTATCTAAAAGACTTTAAAAAGCTTATTATGAAAACAATAATAGAAAATGAAAAATACGTTAATACTTAGTCATTCATCTTAACATTAAGATGAGAAAGTTAATGTCACCTACACGTATAGTGAACTTATAGTTGAAGAAGTGAAGATGGCTGATATTTTTGTTTTTTTGGGCTCAAGAATATATAAAGATGCACAGTGTGCTGGAGAAATAAAGAGGAAATTAATCCTACAGAGAAGAGCAATGATAAACTTAGACATGATACACGAATGAAGGATAAGGACATTTCACTGACAACTAAGTTCAGAATAGTTAAAAGCAGTGTTATCTCCAGTGGCAATGCATGGCTGTGAAAAGCTGGAAACCCAAGGAAGAGCTGAGCATCAGCTCTAAGCTACAAAAATCCAGTTGATCACTAGATGGCAGGAAAATGTTGTAGAAAACTCTAACTCTGTTGCTATCCAGTGGCCATATGAATTTTTGCAGAACTGGTAGATTTAAGAAAGTGCAAAAGAAAAAAATGTATTTTTGAACAATGGATTTGGGGACAGTTGCTCATGGCCCCCAAAAAGAACAAATCAATCAGTCTTAGATCAAATAAAGGCTGAGTGTTCCTTTGAGCCAATGATCAGTGAACAGAAAGTCATATACTTTGGAAGGGTAGTGCAAATGAATGGTGAATGAAGGGGAAAAATGATTTGACAGAAGTAGAAAAAGGGGAGGACAAAAATAAAATCGACAGACAGGTTTAGAGAGATTATTGGAATGTCTTTGAAAAAACTGAGTTTTTACTTAACATAGGTCAGGATGGTGAGTGTTTGTCCACGCAGTTATCAGTAGAAGTCAAATGGGACCAAAGACATCTAATTAATTAAATAAGGGCACTGATCTCATCATACATGAATCTTTAATTGCATCTGTTTGCTTTGTTAGTCAGTTCATTAATAAACACTAGATTGTTTGAATCAAAAACAATGCCAAATAATAACAGCATGTTTTAAGGCTTTCTCCTCTCCACTTTAACTCTCACAATACTTTTTTTAAAAAAAACAGAAATAAAGGCGTGCTTAAATGAGCCTATGCAATGTAGTTTTACAAATGTTTGAGAAGTATATTGTGGCAGGTCAGCATCACTTATTCTTGAGTAACTGTGCATAAGACTACAGTCAGTTTATTGTCCCTGAATAATTCACATATTATATCTTAAATTCTCACACACTTAAATTATGAAATTCCTTCCTCCAGAGTTCACAGGGTTTTTTTCTTCCATTTTATATGGTGGCATCAGTCTTTTTTAAAACCTGTAAGATGTCTAATTTACAATAGATTTTTTTTTCTGGTAGGCCAAATATCTGGGCCTGATAGAGTATTTTTCTTTTTTTTGGAAAAAAAAGACTATGAAGTCACCTCAATGTTCCTTTTCACTCTTTGGCACTTCAGGAAGATTGAAATAATCTGTTTTTAACATCACCATGCAAACCAGTACTAACTGTGCTTTGGTTGCTTTGTTTCTTCAATTGCAGCTAAGATGGAATTGACAAAGTAGAGAAGAGATTGATTTCAACAGGAATTTTAACTCAGCGGTCAAGACACTTACCACTGCCTGTTGGTAAACATAAGGATGGATTACTAATACGGCCAGAATAAGAAATGTTGACAGTGCAACAGCCAATATTGACAAGTTGGGGTGTGGCAGTAAAACATGTATAAAAACAGAATTATCTTATGCTTAACAAATTTATAGCCTAACAATTTAACCCAGGGACTTGTTTTTCATGGGGAAGCTTCAAACATATGTAGGTTATCTCACTGAATCCAATTATACTTATTTCCGGGGGGAAACTAAAAATTCAAACTGTTTTCACTGTGTTTAGTATGTAGCTATGACATTTGTTCATGTTTCAATTAATACTATGGGATTCATTAGTTTGGAACAAACATTTAAAAAGTGAATGACCTTATTGAGCATAGCATCTGACCAAAATAATGACTGGCTTGGAATCAGATAGCACATTTTATAGAGGTGTATAACAGGCACTTCTAGCAACATATGCTTCTAGAGATTCCTGTAAGGGCAGAATACTTCCTCAATTGACCTGCAGACCAACAATTTCTCTCCCTTGAGGTTAAACAATGAAGGATCTCATTGAAGATCTTCTTTTGAGTTCATCTAGGAAATTAGCTGGGTGAAGGAATCTAAGCCCTACCTCCCCCCAGGCTGTGGGATAAACCCTTTTGGGATTCAGGGAGGAATCTAGCTCACCTAGCGCAGTAGGTGTCTAGATGGAGCGGCATCAAGGTTTGCTTTTATTTTGGATGAGCACAAATCAAGCCTTGTCTGACTTCCTTCAAGATAGTCTTTCTCAGAGGCTTTATCTGTGGATTGGCTGAGCCTACTCATTGTTCCTTTGTTCACATTTCTATGAAGCCTAATCCTTTTCTTTAAGCTTAATACCGATCTGAGTTTTTCTGTGTTGTTGTGTGCTTAATGAATCCAAAATACTATTTTAAACAGATTTTTTTATACCAATCTGTTTCTTTGTCGGGTTGAAATCTGGTAACAAATACCATCTGAAAGCAATAACTGCTGCATCACTCTGAGCTGTCCTAGTTGAATGCAGGAGAACCAGTGGTAACAAGATGTTTACAATATTTTTTTTAAGAAGCTGCAATAATTCATTTTAGTAATTGTATTTCGTTTTCTAGTAGTAAGTAGCAAAAGACCCAGACCTGAACAATGACATTTAGTACTATCTTTGCTCTTAAAAAATTAAGTAACCTGTTTTTTAACCAGTTTCGATGATCAGGTACCACCTTCATTGTATTGTTTATGATAATAATGTGATATTGTCCTTCCTATGCTGACACCATTCATTCAGCTGTGATGACTAAGACTTCAAGGAAGCTGGTCCTAATGCATCTATGGCAACCATCTAGGAAAGCTTATTCAACATTTGAAGAAAGAAAAATGTTAGCAGTAGGGATAGTTATTTGATTAGAAAGAAGTCCCAGAGAAGCACATGTCACATTGTTTAGTATTCTTTGCATGAGATTATGGCTTAAGAATCAAACTTAAAATTTATTTAGAAGTTAGATAAGAAACTAAGTAGCAATGCTTGATCATCTATTAAAAAGTCCTACTTATGTGTGAATTTCATGCTAAATTAATATACTCCATTCTGTTTATTTAAAAATGCATTTCAAATTAAGGATACATTTATCTGTCTATTCTGCTTTCATACACTTTTTCAGATTTTTCACTTTAAGTTCATTTTGTCCCAATTTCATTTCAGGTTGCATTTTTTAAAAAATAGTTGCATGCAAATTCATACTACTCACTACATAGTTTGTTAATGTATGCATTTTTGGGAAACAGTTTTTTTCAAATGTAAAGTATTTTGTATGTTATTTTCTTTTACGTGTGCATTTTTTACGCATAGTATTTTTACTTAATTCTGCACACATTTTTGCATTTATGAATTGCGCTACAAAACTTAAGAAACTACAAGTAAGTGAATACAACTGTGTATTTTGTTTATGTACTGGTTAGGAAAACACAAATCAGGTAAAATAGTGCACTAAAGTATGAAAATTACAATTTTCCCTGTGTCTTTCCTTCAGCTGAATCATATTTACAAGGATTGAATGAAAAGCAATGCTTCCAAAGTTGTAAGTCACTAACAGATAGCAGTACTGAGTGCTAGAAGCTCTTATGTGTTCTTTGGTGTCTGTTTTTTCACTTCAACTGGCAGGAAGTTGCTGTGAAAAAAGGCTGTGTTACTATTGTTTATGAAGTGAACGCCTGCAGTAAGTAAGTGTACTTTAAGCAACGTGCCATGATTGAATTTTTGATTGCCAAAGGAGCCCTTCCAATTGAAATTCACAATCAAATGCAGGTTGTTTATGGTGGTGCTGAAGTGAGTACTGTGCATTGCTGGACCAAAAAAATGTAAAGATGATGAACTGGGAAGAGCTGATTTGTGTGATCAAGAACTAAATGGACAACCTGTGACAGCAACTGATGAGTTTCACATGAGAAAGGTTGATAAAATTGGGCAGATCAGTCAAAGGGTTTGGCAGTCAAAGGGCAGACAGTCAAATGCCGTCAAGCTTGGCATTTCACAGGAATACGTGGGTCAAATTATTGATGTTTTTCAATACAGGTTTTTTGCAAGATGGGTTCCTAGCACGCCGACAGCAAGGATGAAAGCTTCAAGAGGCAATTGCAAAGTTGACCTCACTACCTTACTCCATCCTCCATACAGCCCAGATTTGATACCTTATGATTTTCACCTTTTCTCAAAACTGAGGTGGAAAGGACTGCTGGAACTTGGTTGAAGAAACAAAGTGTGGAGTTCTTTTGTGATGGCTTTAAGTTTGTCCACCATTGGCCGAAGTATGTAGCAAAAGGGGGTGATTATTTGGAGAAGTAAATACTAACAACAAAATAACTTTCTTATTTTCTTATTTCATCTATTAATTTATTCTTATTTCAACTGAATTTATGGAAGTGGTGGTATTGCTTTTCATTCAACCCTCGTATGTTAGTGTCAAACTGTGCCAAAGGAATTTTGTGTATGAATTACTTACGTAAAGAGTACAATTCCTGTGTTGGCCAAAGCAAAGGCAAGGCCCAATATTCCACTGCCCATAATAGCATTACTAAGGTTGAAGACAGACATTCCCAAAGATGTTGTGCCTGGACTCTGTAAAAAGAGAGAATGAAGGAAGAAGGGAGAAAGAAAAGGAAGAATGCGCCTTAATTTCAAAGGTTGGCAACAGTAAGCATTCTATTCAATATTCATTTTGAGAAGTCATTTCGTCATTACATTGGTCATTTGTATGTTGAGTCTAACATTCAATTATTTGCCCAGTGAATAGTAGAAGAAAAATGATAGATAAGACAGCGAGGATAACATTATACATTAACTGCATAATAAAACAAAGGGAACATATCCACGTGGCCAATAAGATAGCATTTGCCTACATGCTACATCCACATCTTTGTTATTTTTTAAAGGAAGCCCCCAGTAGTATGTAGTTATTTAGTACCTATCAACTGGGTCCCACTCTTGTATCTAGTTGAATTTCATTGTCATCTCATTCTTAATGTCAATTTAAGCTCAACTAAATTATTGAAAAGCCAAATTCATTCTATTTCTTTCTTTTCAAAGCTTCATAATTATGAAGAGGTCTTTTACAAGCAGGATCATAAGGAGGAGTGGTAGAAGTCAGTAAAGTGAAGCTGTTAAAGAGGTGGTCTACTAAAAGTAGGAGGACATGGTTTCATATGCTGTTCATCCATGTCTTTCCATCCGGGCTTGTTAAATGTGGAATACGCTCAATTGTACCAAATATGTCTATTCCACCAGCAGGACTCACACAAAGCCACTACATTTTAGTTTAGGGTGCATAATGTCAACAGAGCCCAGCAGCTCTTACAACTCACCAAAGAATGTAGCCATAAATTAGGGAAGGCATCTTCTAAATGTCTGTGGGCTGCACTTAGTCTCTTTGTCTACTAGGATGGTGGTGGTGGCACTAGAAAAGGTGGTTGGGCCATACACAGCTTATGGTGGTACATCAGCTGCCCATCCTTACCATAAATAAACATATGCAGACCTTGGCTATGTTCTATGTTTACTTGAGGCTAGAAGTGGTGTGACTGGACATTTTACTGGTAATCCTTGGTTAACAACTGCCTTGTTCAGTGACTGTTCAAATTTACAACAATGCTGAAAAAGAAGATTTACGGCTGGTTCTAGAACAAATGGCCATTACGTGTCCCTGCAGTCACGTGATCACCATTTGCGACCTTCACAGCTGGCTTCTGACAAGCAAAGACAATGGGGAAGCAGGCAGTAAGTTGCAAGTTGTGGTCATGTGACATTGCACTTAAAGACCATGGGCGATTCACTTAACAGCTGCAACAGAAGTGACATCGTAATTTGGACAGTCACATGATGTTTCACTTAACAGCTGTATTGCTTAACACAGAGTTTCCGGTCCCAACTGTAGTCATTAAGTGAGGACTACCTGTATAAAACTTTAACTAGAGCAGCAGTTAAGATGAAAGACCAGCGAATAAGAAATTTCCATGCTAACCTTAAGCCTAGGTAACTGACATACAGATACAATCTATCTCCTCATTGCCTATGTCACATATGTAGAGACATGCTGGCTAAGATTGAAGATCCATCTATACCACAGTGTGCAAGCAGATGTTCACAGGAAGCTCACATGCAGAATGTAAATGCAGTAGCATCTTCCCCATCACTCACCCTAGTAAATACTGAGAGGCTTGCTGCTCCCACTAGTGGAATTAAAATATGGCCATCAGAACTAGCAGCCATTGAGAGCCTTATCTGCTATTAATTTGTCTAATCTCTTGTTCAAGCTCTTGAAAATGGCAGGCAGTAAATCTCATAATTTAACTGTTTGAACAAGTACTCTGTTTATCTGCCTCACCATCTATCTTCATTAGGTGATTTTGGGCTCTATTATTATGAGAGAGGAAGACAAACTCCTCATTACCTACCCTACCTACACTGCATTCACTGGGTCATTAGGAAGATTAATTCTGGGCTGCAGAGAATTATGCAACTTACCTTGAACCCTTTGGAAGGTAGGCAAGGACATAAATATAATCAGATAAATAAAATACAAATGAAAAGCCCTGCAAATGGTACCTAATGGCAAAGCTTCTCCTTGCACAGGAGGTAAGCTTCAACAGTTCCTGCATACATACAGTACATTAGAGAGAAAACCTCTATGAGGTGAAGAGAGGAACCTACATATTCATCACACTTCTTCTTTTCCAAATGGCTGTTAGTTAGGCTTCTTCTGCTTTCACGGTCTGCGATGAATTTGCTGAAAGGAAACAAGGAAGCAGGATTTTCTTTAACACCATAGGCATAGCATGAATGCACTTTTATCATGTTACTGTTGTAGAACGCTGTGACATTTCAATATTGATTTGGACTGTTTTTGTTAAGCCACGTTGTACACTGACATTTGAGAAGGCAGGGCATAGGTAAACAAATACTGCAGACGGAGCATATCCTGGCATATAATAACACATACACAAAGACATGAAAAGACATCTAGATATGATTCAGTTTTCCAATACACTGCTTAAAAATAATGCTCTGACGTGGCTACTTTGCAACAGGAGAATGTTTTCCTACCCATTTTTTAATGTGACCTGGAAATGCAAATGATAAAATAAAGAACTAGTCCAGAATGTCACAGCAGTGTGAATTTGCCAACATTGGGCTGTGACTTGCAGATTCAGCATTGCTCCACTTTCCCAAATGCTTGACAGGAATGACTTTGTTAATGCAGAGAATCCCTTGCATTTCATACGGTGTGTTCAGAAACAGAAAGCTGATCTAGAAGAATTCTAAATAGTAAGATCAGTTCTTATTGTATTACTATGATTATCAAACATGGTAAAGAGTGAAAGGATAAAGTGTATCAGCAGTGACCATTTCAGAGCTGGTCAGAACTGGCAAACACCTTATCTATGCATCTCAATTTGACTACTGCAATGCATTCTAGATGGAGAGAGGCGTGATCAGAAGGTTCTGATGGTGCAAAACAAGGCAGTTAGGCTGCTAACCAGTTCAGGACATCTGAAGCACATTATAATCACTCTGAAGAACATGCATTTGTTGTCATTTGTTTTAGAAGCAGAAGACAACAGTACTGTTTTGATCTTCAGACCCATAAATGGCAGGGGGCCTGACAGTCTGAAAGACTCCCAGTTTCAGTGTGATCCTGTCCAGACAGTGAGACCACAGGAGAAGCCTACTTACAGATGTCCTGACTTTCTGAGGTGTGTTTCTTAGGCACAAAGGGGAAAGCTTCTCCTGTGTTGTTCTCAAGCTATGGAACATGCTCTTTCTTCAGTTGTGCTCAGTCCAACCTCCAGCCTCCCCACCTGCTTTTACAAAAGGAACTGAGATATTCTTTTTTCAGCCTGGCATTTTCAGTTTAATCATTTATTTAATTTAAATTTAGTTATTTAAATTAATTTACTTTAATTGTTTTAATCATATTTTATCTGTTTATGCTTTAGTTTTTCATTTTTAGTTGTCCCAAGGGTCCTTTGGACAGGAAGAAATTGTATAAAGAAATAAAAATAGAATAAATGTGCAGATACATTATTACTGCTCATTTTCAGGGGAATAAAAACTTGTAGAAAAGGAACAGGAAGAGATCATGGATGTAAACCCAGAATTCCCCAAACTCATGCTGCCTGAAATTGGTAGCAAACTGAATTACAGCAGTACAGTATTTCCCTTTCCTTAAAAGCAAGGAAAAGCATACATGCATTAAGTCTTCAACTTGCTCAACACACCTGTTTTAATTTCTCAAATCCCAATTGCTTTGCTGCAAAAAGGCTGCCTGTTCTCGTGACTCTATCTTATACGGTATATCTTCCTTGTGGAGAAATGCATGAGTTTGAGATATGTGGCTAGCACCTCAAAAGCTATCTCATCAATAAAGGCTCTAATAACACAATTGCTTAGTCCTCATCAACTTCTAAATTTGAACCTAAAGTTGCGTAAGAGCTTTGTTCTCATTTATATTACTCTTTTCCCCCTGTCCCCCTCTTACTTCCCCTTCAGTTGACATTCAGATGCCATGTTCCTCGGGGACTTTTTGCTGTAGTGAAAAGAGAATATGCAAGTCATAATGCAGCCTTTCATGTAGCCTGAGATCTTCCAGATGTGATACACTGTAATTTCCAATCAGTGTGTCTGGGAATCATGGAGGTTGTAATACAACCCATTTACAGAACAATAGATTGAAGATATGGGAATTATGAGAATTGTAGTCCCATATATTTGCAGGGAACAACTTTGAGGAAGATCTCATTGGCATCCTATACTGACCCAGGCTGTTATCATGGTATATACATTTTTCATTCTGTCTCTTTCATGTGGGAAAAATGTTTAACTCAATTCTGTGCTGTTAATGTGTGATGTGGAAAACATGCCTGAAAGAACCATGTAATCAGGAGAATTACAACGGAACAAAGATGCATATTTAGTTTCTAAATGCTTCCTGGTACTGCCTGGCACTTGAAGGTTCCTCTATGTTAGACAAAACAATTCAGACTTCCAGCAATCACATATCTTCTGTGCAGTCTAGGACTGCTAAGAAAACCATATCTATTATTTCAGTATACCAAAGCAATGATGAATTATTTTGCCAAATAATATTTAAAAAGCAACCTAATATCCATAGAAATCCTTCTTAAATGTAAGTAAAAATGAGAATGAATTTAATTAACTATTTAGCCAGAAAGCTATAACAATTAACACATTTAAGATCTCTAAAAACATCTACATCTAATACAGTGGGTGGTACTAGGCAGTGAAGTTTATATACCTTCATCAACATTTATGAACTGTTGCAAAATCTAGGTATATTATAATAAGCAAAAGCATAAGGCAGGCACTGCCTGCTTACAATCTAATAAGAAAATAATAATTGGAGAAACTAAACATGCGCGCGTGCATGTGCACACACACACACAGGGAAAGTTCCACAAAACTGTAATGAAACACCATCTGGTTGGCCTCTGTCTTCTAGCATAAGGAAAAGTATGGGCATATTAAAATTATTTACAGACCACCTTGCAGAATTAAAGTCAGTGAGTATATAAAAGAAAATCAACATAGTAAAATAGTAAAATCAATAAAATAAAATCAATCAAGACTATGCCATGAAAAATTCAACACATATCAGTCTAGGTCACTAAAGTTAGAAATGTCCACTGATGGTTCTTTGAAGTCACAGGGAAAGTGTGCCCAGTTTTATATCCTTGAACCCCACACCTTCTCTTTATTGTTAAATTGTAAGTTTCCTCTTGTTCAAAAGGTACTTCAGGAAACTGTATTGGATCAGCCAACCATTTCAATAGTAGTATACAGGATGTACAGATAGGAAAGATGGATATTGTTAAATCCAATAAGGCTCTTGCTAGGGACATACGTATATATACAGAGGTAAGGCTGCCTCTATTTCCAGTTTACATGTGAATACATAAGTCCCTAACAAGAGCTTTGTTGGACTGATCTTGTCCAATAACATGGTGTCAGGAAAAAGGAGGCAGAGATTAGACAACAGGAATAAGCCACTGACTTCACTGCCAGCTTGCTTGTAACTGTATTTCTCCCTAATAGTTCCATTCAATGTAGCTAACCATAAATTAAAGCAAATGCTGGACTAGATCTGTTGTGTGACTCATCTGCATCCTAATAGTATAACCTATTTAGAGTTGCATTGCAAGTATTCTTAACCACAGTTTTTCTGCCTCAGCTATTATCTTGCTCGCATAATTCCAACATATAACTTGTATTTGGGCTCAAATTGTCAGCCCTTCAAGATAGATTAAACTAGGAAACCAAAGTCATGTAGGCCAATAATACTTTTATTGTAAGATTATAGTAACAGAATCTTGCAAGTCTAAATGTGGTTCCACCCTCCCCCCTTATATCTTCATGAGAATTAGGGAGGGTGTTGTCTGAGACACTTTCTCAGGTTACACTTCAGCCTCAGATTCAGGTTTCTTTTATCTGACCATTGTCTTTGGTAGCAGCTCTTTCTCCTGTCCTTCAAGATTATTCCTTCTGCCCATTACACAAATAGCCAAACACTGAGAAAAGTTTAGTTGAAATCTTGCACACATTTTACCTGAGATTAAGTTCCATTAAAGAGTTCAGTGGTAGAGCACATGTTTTGTATGAAGATGATCCTAAAATCAATTTCTAGCATCTCTGGGTAGGATTAGGAAAAAATTCCTGCCCGAAACACTGGAGAACCATTATCAATTTGCATCAATGGTAGTGACCTAGAGGGACCAATTGTCTATCTTAGCAGAAGACAGCTTTCTATGATGTGTAGAATTAAATGAAACTTACTTTTAATTGGACATGCCACTGTAAGTTTGACTAGCTTATAATAAGCGCAGTGGCCTCAATCAAGCTAATCAAATGAACACTGAAAGCAATGGGGCTTAAATGACTCAAATTGGTCTTAATAGAAGAAGTGTGTTTCGGAATTCAGTGGAGCTTGCTCTTCAATCAGTGTTTACAATCAGCCAGTAAAATTGCAATGCTATACATATTTAAAGAGAAACATATCCCTTTATGTACACATACAATTTACACAGGAGAGCAAACTCAAATTACACTAGCAATGTATCTGAATTGGGGGCTGAAACGTATAAAAAGACAGTATAAAATAATGAAAATACTGGGCTGAATATAGAGAAAGTGAACAAAATTCCATTCAGGCAAAAGGACTTTTCTGCTTCTTTTTTAACTACTATACCCAACTCTCCCTGCAATTTTTGGGGTGCAGGAACCCCATAGAATGGAGCAGAACAGGCACAAGGAAGACTGAACAAGATTTGGAAGTGGACTACTTTGATGGGGTTGCATGTGCAAGAGGATGTGTTTAGCTGCTTGTATGAGACATTGTGAAAATAATACTGTGTAACATTAGGGGATAAAAATTTCTACTTTATTATGCCTTCCTTTACAATAATTACTGGATTCATATACTGTAAATTATAAGGTTTCCTTTTTCATCTGAACTTAAAAATAATCAGTTTAATCCAATACATTAAAAAAAACCCCACTTTATTAAGAACCTTTGTAGCAAAGACCTTAAAAAAAGTACTAGATAACTTTTATTGTGGCTTTAAAATGAATCAAAGAAACCGGTGACCTACTTAAGTTGCTTATCTCAAATGCAATAAATAGCAGCAGACTTTGGGGCGCTATCATCATTTCAGAATGCATATTAAATATTCCTTATGCTTAAGACAACTAACGTATCTAAAGTAGTTCAACTATTCCTCCTGATGCGCTTGTTCTCAATATACTGCAAGATTTCTGCCACATCTTCAAGCATGCTATCCTTCCCTGTATTCCAAAGATATAGTTCCAGAAATATTGTCATCATGTGATCTTTTCTCAGATGTATATGGGCTTTACATTACTTTTAAAAAAACATAGTGCAGTGCAATGAAAAAGCAGATGGACCAAGCCTGAAGTGGATCAATCACGGGGAGCACTAGATATTTTGATCCTGTACTATATCATATTCTGTACATTTATATTAAGGCTGATTTTTTTTTCTTGTTGCTGTTGCTACTGTTAATATGAATACCCATAAAGGATTGGTGATGACATTCAAACTACCTCTTCAAACAGGATGTGACTCAGCAATGAATCATTCATCAATTGTATTTCAAGTTTTTTTAAAAAAATTGTTTTTAACAGTTGTTTTCAAATGGCCAGTTTTGGGTAATGGAAAACTACTCACCTATTCATTTGTCCATTTTCTACTTCTGTAAAATCATTAGAATCATTACTAATGTTGTCATCCTCAGGAACCTTCATATTTTGCATCTCAGTTAATTCTAGTGTTATTTTGAAAGGCATCTTGATTTAGAGAACTTATCCTGGAGTTTGTCTGAATTTTGGCGCTAAGTACTAGCTACAAAATGAGTTTGACAACCTGAAAGAAAAAAAACAGACATTAAAAAAAGCAAGACCACCAATAAGATCAGCAATTATCTCCCAAGGCACTATGCAGTATTTTTCAATTGAGACAATTTCCTGTAGTGTTTGAACTGACATGCATCTAGCTCTGCTATCAGTAAATACAGCGATCTGAGAACCGAGACACAAAGTTAGCTTCTTCCTTTTGTGTTTAGATGAAGGAGGAAAACTGAGTAAAGGAGAGAGGCATTTCCAATATTTAGGTAATTTACAGAAACAAACAAACAAGAACCCTAAAGTCTTCAAAGTATCATGGAAAGTATTCTCCAAAGTATCATGGAAATATTCACAGGCAACACTTCCTGCAGTATTTTAAAAAAAACACACACCTCTGGTTGTAGTAACAGGCTAGAGATACTTCAGAATTAAACCATGCTCTCCCATGACATTTGAAAATGGGAGTTCTATAAGTTACAATCCTAAACATATTTTATAGGTAGTCCTTGCTTACCGATCACTTGTTCAGTGACTGTTCAAAGTTATGACACAGTGCTGAAAAAATAACATTAGTGCACATTTACGACCTTTGGAGCATCCCACAGTTATGTGATCATCATTACAGTCAGTATGCATTGCCCTGTGTGTGACTTATGGTTTTTTCTTCCCCCCCATCCCACTGCAGAGCAGAGAGATTGGAGAGAAAGGGATTGGAAGAGTAAGCTGTTTGCTATTCCACACATCAAAAGCAATGTGATTGTGCCAGCAGCCTGGGGCTGGGAGTCTCAGGCACACTACACAAACAGCTTACAGTACTCTCTTAAAATCTCTCCATCTCCCTAATCTGGGGGCGGGGGGAGGGGGAAGGAAAAAAACCAAGCAATTTCTGTATACACTTTCTCCTTTGCCTGACCCTTTCCTGCTGCTGGTGCAACTGCATTGCTTTTAATTTGCAGAAGAGCAAACAGCTTCCTCTCTTGAACTCCCTCTCCAATTTCTCTGCTCTGTGGCAAAGGGGAAGGGTCAGGCAAAGGAGATGTTGCCTACAGAAAAGTAGAGCAATTGTTGGACTTAGGATGGAATCTAAGTTTACAACTTTGTTCAGCAGTGTATATCTTAAATGGCTCTATCTTTATCCTAGACAGACATCTAGAAAGATTAATAGTCTGATGAAGGTTTGTTAGCTACATTCGACATTGGGTTTCCAGTTATTGTTGAATTACAACTTTTATCACTCCCACCTATCTGTTGTCATAGTGGTCAGACTTGGTGGCAGTTGGGGTCTAACATCTGAGATCAAAACTTTGGGAAAAGCTGTAGAAAATAACAATGTCACATATCATATATTGTTAAACATTCATTCTGTGAAAAAAAAAATATGTGGTAAGAAAAATCTCAGTAGTAGATCTAGTTAAATTCATATGCATAAATGAGCATAACCATTGTAATGTGTAAAACATAGTTTATGGGTTAATCCAAACAATACTGAATTCACACATTGCATTGTTCAACCTTGCTTTATTAAATATGCTACAGCTTGTCAAATTCTTATCATAAGCTAGCCATAAACCTTTGTTTACAAACCATAGTAGCTGGGTTCATATAACATAATAAGCCAAAATCAAATCAATCATATAGTGCAGTATGTAAATACACTCACTGGTTCAATCAGTCATAGTTAAAGTAAACCATAGCTCAATACAATGTGTGAACCCACCCAAAATACAAGCCAACAACTTGGGAACATTATTTGTGGTTTTGTATATTTTTATTAAAATAGACACACATATTTTCTTTCTGTAAAATTTGGCTTGCTTTCAAGCTGTTTTAAAGGATGCTAGTTTTAGTTTCAGAATAATCTGTTGACAGACTGAAATTGGATTCAGTTCTATATTCACAGATCTTGTTAAACATGTTTGGTGAACCTTTCGAAGGCAGAGCTCAAATATCTCATAAACTATTTCTCTTACGCAATGGCAGAGACTAATAGTATCTCCTTTCTATCCCTTCTTCTCCTCTTCTCTACCTCACCTTTTTGAAAAGCAGATCAGAAGACTCATCCCAATAAACAATAAAACAATGAGTAATGAACTGCGAATATATTTCAAAGCCAACAGTTAAAACTGTCCTCCATAAACATCCTAAGGAAGAAAGAAACCACAGTTGACCCAATTCCTAGAAAATAAAGTTTAGTGGTCCTAAATGTCACTCTCTAGTTAATTAAAAAAAGGGTATAAAATTGAATGCAGATAAAAACTAATTACATATCCATATCTTTTGAGAAAAAAGCTTCAGTCAAATGATCTCACTTAGGAAAGTTGTTTTGTTTTACTTAAAATATTTATATATCCCCTTTTATTTTAAAGATTGACTATTAAAGCAATTCTATAGATAGCTTTAAATCAGATAATAGCATATTTTCATTGCTGAGCTTAAGGGAATTTCACTGAAAAAGCATTCACAATATCTCCAGTACATTTTTTTTTTTAAATTTTTCTGGTTGGCTTTTTCTTCAAGAGGGGAAAACACTTTCTTGGTGGGCTGCCCTGAAATTTTAGAAGAGGGAACAGCCATCTGGGAAACAAGAAGAAATGATTAGGCAACTGAAATAACTGAATAACAGTTAAGGTAACTGAAGAAATAGAAATGGGACAGAGGAGAAGATAGGCTTTGTACTGAAGTATCTTTTTATGCCAAGCTGTCACCTCTTTAAAAAAAAAAACAAAAACATTCTGCAAAATTGTCCCTCAAATCAGGAAATTTGTCCTAGAATTTATTTTCGCAGAATTTAAACCTGATATGTGTTTAAAGTGTTGGAGCTAAATATGGACACATATTAGAAGCACATTACCCCATCCATGTTTTAGCTATGGTTTGTTCACAAATAACAAGTCAAAATCATGGTTTACAAACCAATATATCTGGTTCACATGTTATGCTAACCCAAACCAACAAGCACAAGATAGCTTAGAATGATATGTGAACCCATCAATATATGAAAATGTTCTGAAAAAATATGGATTAAGAGGAAGGGCTTCTAGATCAGAAGAGATGTCCAACTGTTTAACAGTTCTGCCTTCTCTTTTCTTTGTAATTAAAACTTACAAAGTTTTAATTACAAATTAAGTTTATCCAAAATTAAAACTGCATATTTGTAGATATATGAACCATATATCAGATTATTTTCAGAAAGGACTCCCTTTCTTGCTTTACTTACATACGTACATATATCTAAAATGGAGCCACGTTCACACAACCAGACATGATATAAGAACATAGGGAAATCAGGGCTAAGGCCTGTTATTATAATCCTCTTATTCTTCTATTTGTACATGTTTAATAAATCCAGCTTGGACACTTATACATGAAGTTGTAGCTGTTTTACTATTAAATTGTAGAACACAGAAGCTTACTAACAAACCATGCCTCTGTTATTTGAAGAGGGAATAACCCATCTGCAGATATTAGGACTCTAGTTTACTTGTATAGTTGTTAGGAATCATTAAATTCTTCTGACCCTTCTCACTGACTTTATAACTTAGCTTTAAGCAAAGCCCACAAATTGTCATAGAGAAAATGTAAAATGATTTAAATGTACTGTTGTTTATTTTATTAACTGCTTTAGCTAAGTTTGGGAAAATGTGTTGACTGATCATAATTATTCAAAGATTCAATTAAATTTTCTTCCCTCTGAAAAACCCTTTTGAATGAAACACAAAAGCAGCTTTTTGGCTGCTTAATACAAGGTAGGAGTGAAAACTATGCTATAACACAGTATACCCTTAAATGGTACAGGTCATAAAATGAATTGGCATAATATTGATAAGTGGGCCAAAACAAAATTTATGGATGAAGTTAGTCAGTCTTAAAGGATTGCGAGAACTTAAGAACAAAACGTAATCTTAGCATATTTAAAATAATTAAGGATAGATATTGCTTATCTACAGGGACTCATTTAATGGAACAGGATAAATCTTTATTAATGAAGGATTGGGTGGGACAGGTTTACCTCATAGACACTTTGACGAAAGCTAAAGGTGTGGCCATTTTGGTTCGAAAAGGATTCCCAATTGATGTACAAGTTATCACTGATGTAAATGGGCATTATTTAATTTTGTGTGCCAAAACAGAGACTGCAATAGCTGTGGTTTATGTTTATGGGCCAAATTTAGATTCTGCTATTATGTTTTATGAATGTTTTCAACACGTGAATGAGCGTATTTATGATAAACTGATAATAGGAGATTTCAATGAAATATTGGATCCTGAACTTGACAGAATACACCAGCGCGCGCACACACACACACACACACAAAAGCCCCAAAACAATAATTAGTGAGGGAAACAATTAAGACTTATATAGAAGAATTGAATTTAGTAGACCCCTGATGTTTGATGTATCCAACTAAAAGAGAATATATATTTTATTCAAATGTGCATCAGAATTTTTTAAGGCTTGATTATTATTTTATATCATTGACCTTATATTATCAAATTCAAGAATGTAACATTGATGTTTGTTATGTATATGATCATAGTACAATCACCTTGAAATGTGTGTTTCAGAAACCGATTAAGGCATCCAGAAATTGGTACTTCAATGTTTCCCTATTGAATGATAAAGAATTTGTACAACAAATGCCGGTAGAGACCTTACAATACTTTGATTTGAATTCAGAAACATCAAGTGCCTGAATTTTTGAATGGGAAGCATACATAAAGCATACATTTGAGGTAGAATTATTGCTTATGCATCATACAAAAATAAGATTAAAAATAAAACAGAAAATAATTTGAAAGATGAATTGAAATATTCATGGGCAGAGATGATTAGATGCCCATCTACAGTTTTGTACAGAGAAATACAGAAAAATAAATATGAATTAACTACTATAATATCACAGCAGCCAGAATTTATGCCAACATGTTTATGACAGAGATACTGGGAGAACAGTGAAAGACCTGGTACGATCTTGGCTAATCACATAAATCAAAAGAAAGACAGGGCAATAACTCCAA